CTGCTGACCTTCCCCAACCTGCCCTTTTTTAGGCCTGAAAAACAACCACCCAGAGCAAAATGCAATTAAGACAGAATGCTAATTCATTGTGCATTTTTGCTGAAAATGACACTCTGACATACCCCAAAGTTTAAATAAATAATAAGTACTCTGTATATTTGCTCTTATTTGAACTGAGGATCCATACAAAAGTTCAACTATTAAGGAAATTAATATTTCTAACAGTATGAAAAATAAAACACAGAAAGAGAATAAGAAAAGACTGACCAAGAATGGCGTAGTAAAAATTAGGGAAACTATGTAGCATAACTAATGTGTAATTAAATGCCCAGGATAATTTTTTTCCCCGTTAGAACAAGTACACACAATTTATGAATGGTTCTGCTAATCTGATTTTAAAATTAAAAATGGGGCATGCTATTTTATTAAAGCCAATAACTATTTTTAAGTTAGTTTAGATTTCATAGTATGCCCAATAAAAAAGTTTTAATGAGGGATAACAGAGAAAAACAATAACAAAGCAGAATGGGTTGAAGAAGAGAAAGAAGATGAGAGAAGAAAAAGCAAGATACACTCTCAAAGGTAAAAGGAAAAACGAAATTAGACAGATTTATTTATTTATCTATCTATCTATCTATCTATCTATTTATTTATTTATTGTGTGGTTGGTTCTAAATAAGAGTTTAAATGATCATTAGGTAGATTGCTGGTCATCTTTAGCTGTGGGCTTCTGTGGGTCACCATTGGCTTCGACATAATTTTTTACAGATGCTCAATTACTTCTTAACCTTAAACCTTTAGGACTCACTTTAAGGAATTGGAATAGCCACAGCCGTCTCCAAGGCAAAATAGCCTTCACTGGATTCAGTGATGATGCAAAGCCAGTGATAATGTTGAGCTGAGCAACCGAACTAATTTCCTACTACTGGCTGTAATTCTCGGATCCAATACTCAACACAGTGCCCAATACATAGCTGGTGTTTAATAATGTTTGTTGGGGAAAAAAAAGATTCGGAGAATATTGGGGGAAGTTAAAGCTATTTAGAGTACCCTAAACTTTTATATTTTATAATAAAATATTTTATCATGCTCTCCTATAAAATGTTCACTGTTATCTGTGAGAAAACCTATATAACTTATTCAAAACATGTCTTGTTTGATTTGGTGGTTTTAAATGTTTAAAAGAAAAAGTATCTTGACCCTCTTAAGAAGGCAGGTGATTAAATCAAGACACCTTTACTAGAAGAGAGAAATTCTGAGAGAGTGAGGTAAGTCTCCTGAATTAGAGACTCCTACCTTTTTTCTTTATTTAAATTCTACCCTTTGTGTCTGGATATATAAAGTTTCCATGGCTTCTCTGTTTTAATAGGTATTTACTCAAGATCAATTCCAAAGGAGGCAAAGTCTGATACAGATGAATGTAGCAATTTTTTAATCTCTATTCAACTGTCTGTTTCAAAAAATCAGAGCTAAAGTTATTTTAGATACTATACAGTTTAAAAAAAAAATGGTGATATGCTGGACTTATGACTCTAGTCTTTAAAAACTACTTGTAATATGCTAAGTATCTTCTTTATTCTCTGATCAGTTTTCCACGGTTTTAATTTACTCTGAAGATCACAACTGACCTGCTCTTTGCTCCTAAGTCTTGAAATGACTTTTGACCAAAAGCGATAAATCTGATCTGAGAGAAGAGTCAGCTGCTAGATAGTCAGGGACAAGGAAACATAAAGCAAAAGAATTGGAAAGGAATTTACAGTTTGTATGCTCCGATTTTGAAAATAACAGTTTAAAGTCATGTGGCCAAAAAATGACACAGAGAAGAGCTTTTTCATATTAAAGTTAGAGTACTTACAGACCAAATATTTACATTAAGGGAGCTTTGGTAGTAACAAATGTACTTTTACCTTTAAGCTTTTATTTCTTTAACCTTACTTCCTCCGTGGACTTTATTTTATTTATCAGGGAAAAGTAAAAGTTAAACTACTAAAGCTAAATCAGTATGTCTGGTTTAAAAAATAAAAAAGCACATGTGAGCAGAGCCATAAATTGTTGTACTGTTGAGCTCTTGGGCTTTCTTTGCTTATAGTAGCTATCAAATGACATTGAACTTCTGGTCAAAACTCTTATTATAATAATACTAAGATGCTATTTGCCTTTTTCACTTTCATTCTCTTACAAGTGCACAATGGAATGTTCCAGAGGATACATGATATGTGACATCACAAGGCAGAATGAAGAACCAGATGTGAGAATCCAGCTATTTTCCATTAAGCCATACATTAAAGAGATTTACAAAAATGTAAATCATTGCCATTTTTGCTAAACTTTTTAATTGGGGAAATCGTTTTTAAAAAAAAAACATATTTTATGCTAACATGATTTATTATTTTCTTAACGAGTTAATAAATATTTTTTAAATATCTCAGTTTTAAATTCTAATATGATAAATCATAGATATAAGTGGCTTGCAGTCCTCAATTTTTAAGCATCTAAAAAGGGTCCTGAATCAAAAAGTGTAAGAACTGAGGTCCTAAGAGTTTTCAAATTAGCTGTGAAGTACAAAAAAATCTACTTATTTAGTTCTCTCTAATGTGTAAGACTTTAAATTCATACATAAACTTGAGATTCTCATCTTAATAATGAAAAGAGGGAGAAAAGTACAGTAGAAAGAAGACAGAACTATAAGACTGATAACTAAGATTTAGTCTTGACCTTACCACAAACCAACTGCTAAGGGGAAGTCACTTAATTGCACATAACCTCCCTGGGCCTTTATTTCCCCAACTCAAACAAGAAAAGGTGTATCAGATTCTTTGGACAGGCTATATTCGTTCTCCTGCTTCCCTTGACACTGATCCATTCCCTCCCATCCCACTGCCCTTGGAATTACCACACATAACAAGAGCTATTACTGATGGGAGTAGGTGATACTTGTGAATGCTGTGATGGTGTGGAGACAGAAAAAGTCTGAAAAAATCATCAGACTGAATTACTTTTTAAAGTCCTTTCCAACCACTAGATGCACAATAATATAACCATCTCCCCTTCCTGTCCATCAGGTACTCCAGACTTTTTATCTGTATACTAGGGCTTTGCAATATATGAGTGTATCATCAAATCAACATGTCATACACCTTACACTTACACAACGTTGTATGTCAATTATCCCTCAATAAAGCTATGGCAGTGGGAGTGGGGGGGTGGGGGCGGTGGAGAAGCTCAGAATGCCCAGCCTAGGTTAGATGTTCTCTCAAAGTCAACAGTAGCTCTGGGACTCCTTGTTTATCACCGGGCAACATGCATTAGCATTTCCAGACACTAGTGTGTCCTGGAATGGACCATACCAAAGAGGAAGTCACTGCATTGCACCTTTTAGAAAAACCCTAGAAGAGCAATTCTTACTTGGGCCATTTTTCCAATTCAGAAGCAGTAACAAAAGGAGAGAGGACTGTTCAATGAAATTCTTGCCAAAAGAAAGAGGTTTTATTTTTGGATCTAAAATCTTGAAGAAACCCACTACTTCTTTTAGACTAACCAAGTGTTCTTATTTGAACATGATTTCTATTTGCTTACCTTATAGCCAAAGAGAAAGAGTCCAAAGAAAAGACTGTAGAGGTCAGCTGTCAGGATGCCCAGGTTGACAGAAGTGGCACTAGTAACTTTAATCACCAGTGGCATGAAGCTATACAGGCAAAACATACAGAGGGCAAATGCCACAAACAACAAGGCTGTTTTAAAAAAAAAAGAAAGAAAGAAAGAAAAAAAATATCTATTGTTATAGTAAGAAATGAGAATGCTTAAGGCTTGGCTACCACATAAAATTCCCTGATCCTTTAGCACACGATCTGCAAAGCCCATTGTTATCATCAGCATTGCAAATGAGACATATAAAACTCTCAGAAAAAAATAATAACAAGATGTGATGTGGGTGAAGGACTTCAAAAATCCAAGAGGGTGTTGTTAGATAGTCAAGCAGACAACTTTCACAAGATGTCTGAGGACTCGAACTACAGATCTAATTGAAAGCTAGTGTAACCAAGGTCAGTCTTGTTCAGAATTCCTAGTAAAGAAAGGCTATTCTTGAAGGTAAAGATTAATGATTAACTTCTATGGAGAGTCATTTACAAGTTCTCAGAGAAACTCAGTGTAAACCACTGTAGCTCTTTGTGTACTGAATTACTCTGTGATTTCACAAAACTGCCTAAATATTATTAAAATGAAGTATTTATTTCTTTTCTTTTTTAATTTAGTTTCAAGTGTACAGTACATTGGTTAGACATCTATATAGTTCATAAAACGATCCCAATTACTCCCTCCCTCCCCTGACCCTCCACCTACCCAACGTATTAATGCTAACTACATTCCCTATGCCATGCTCCCCATCCCTATGACCATCCATGAGCTACTTCTTTAGCCCTTCACCCCATTCTCCCAGTGCCCCCCAAACCCCCCTCCCCTCTGTCTGACACCAAATTGTGCACTATATTTGTGAGTCTGTTTTGGATTAGTTTGTTCTTTTTATCCCTTAGATTCTGCAAATAAGAGAAATCATATAGTGTTTATCTTTCTCTGTCTGACTTAAATACCTTCAAGGTCCATCAAAGCAATATCTTTTTCGATCCTCTTCCTTTTCACATGTTTTCTTATCTTTTCAGCCACTCTTTCTTTTGGTTGGAGCACTTAATTCTTTTCCATTTAAGGTACTTATTGATAGGAATGTAGTTGTTATCATTCTTTATTCCTGTTTTCAATACATGTTTTTTCTTCTTAAAGAAGTCCCTCCAACATTTCCTGTAATACTGGCTTGGTGGTGATAAATTCCTTTAGCTTATTTTTGCCTGGGAAGCTCTTCATCTGTCTTTCAACTCTAAATGATAGCTTTGCTGGATAAATTATTCTTGGTTGTATACTCTGGGTCTTCATCCTGTCGAATATTTTTTGCCATGCCTTTCTGTCCTGCATAGTTTCTATTGAGAAATCACTGCCAGTTTTATGGGGGCTCCCTTGGAGGTAACTATCTGCTTTTCTCTTGCTGCCTTTAATGTTCTCTCTTTGTATTTAACCTTTGGCATTTTAATTATGATGTGTCTTGGTGTGGGCCTCTTTGGATCCCTGATTTTTGGAATTCTCTGAGCTTCCTGGGGTTTTATGTCCATTTCCTTAGTCATGTTAGGAAAGTTTGCCATCATTACTTCTTCAAACAGCTATTCAACATCTTGATTTTCTTCAATTACGCAGATCGGATGAATATTTGGAGACTTAATAGCGTCCCATATCCTCTTTATTTTTATAGTCTTGCGTCTTTTTTCTTGCCATTCTGACTGAGTGTCCTGATTGGCTTTCCTGTCCTCTAGATAGGGCATTTGATCCTCTTCTTTATTCACTTTGTTTATTCCATTTACTTCTCATCTGAGATAATGCGTTCTTCATTTCAGACTGGTTCCCTTTTATAAACTCCATCTCCATTTTTATCTGTTGGAATTCTCTGCCTTTCTCAAAAATTCATTAAGCATCTTTATAACCAGTGTTTTGAACTCTGCATCTGTTAGATTACTTGCTTGCATTATATCTGGATCTCTGTTCTGTTCTGTCATATGGTTTCTGCTTCTTTGTCTTCCCATTTTGGCTGCCTTTCCATGTCTGTTTCTATGTACTAAGCAAAGCTCCTCAGTCTCCCATCTTAGTGTTGGATTTGTGTAGTAGGTGTCCAGTTCTGAGCGGGCGTC